TTTTTTTTTTTTTTTTTTTGCTTCCGTGCATTCATTTTCTGTATCTTGCAGTTGAGAAAAATATTTTATTAAATTTTTGCGGGGACTTCTCTCAATCATTGTTCTACAAGGAGAACCAATCAAAAATATTCCCATTGAAGTCTATGGGAAAACAAGGTCCAACATACGGACGTTCCGACACAGGGACAGGGTTCAAGAATCTTAATCACGTCCGCATCTCAGGGTCCCTCTGTAAATGCATCGGTAACCCCAATTAAAACTCACAATGCATCCACGGATAATGATGACCGCCAATAGAGGACAATATCGTGCCAGATAACAAATAGCGCTGTCAGGCAAAAGCGTCAGTCCGCTGGCGGAAAAACTCGTCAGTTTAGGACACCGCTTCGACAAAACCTCGATCCCTGCAGGAAGAAAACACACACACACGCGGGTTATCACTACCTCAACAAATTATTCAGCCATTGCATGGACGAGAAACTCAGTGTATCCAACTGCTGGGAAACCACATGGGCAGAAAACGAAAGAAAGAGAGAGAGAGATATATATAGAAAGAAAGACGGGTGAAACATTCACACGCACACTCACCCATTTCCCCGATGCGATCGCACCAAGAAATATTGATGTACTTGAGCTGCTGGCAGCCTTCAGCCAGGAACTTGAGTCCCAGGTCGGTGAGCAATTCGCAAGAGCCCAAGTCCACCTTTTTCAACTTCGGACATAACTGGCCCAACGCCGCACAAGTTCTGGAACGGAAGATATATATATATACACTATATGCAGTATTTATTTGCTTTCTTTTCCACTAAAACATATATGATCTCCAAAAAACCCTGGCGTTCTTCACCGTCATGCCTCATGAATTAAGAACGATCCCCGCGGGGATCAAAGGGAGGGATTGAATTGCTTGAAAAAAACTATTGATCGCACAGGTGGATCCGCATCGCAGACCAATGCCGAAAGATACTTCAACGATTCAACGGCACGGGTAACACTTTCCGCAATCTCGCTTCAGAGCAACATTTTTCACTGCTCAAACTTGAAAAATAAATAAAAGCATTCAGGCGTCTCTCAAAATAATTCAAGACTGTACACGGAATCGATCGCGTTGAGAGAACCCACACCCAAATTTTAATCATTTCTCAAACCACAAGTTCAACTAGTCCAAATAATGCGATGATCAAAATTCCAGAGAGTTCGATAATGTATCTACTCATAAGACGGTTCATGCGTGAATAATTTCCGCTGCAATCGAGTACTTGACTTGGATATACTGTATATTCAAAATTCAACGCATTAATCCAGTCACGGTATAGGATTCACAAAATCGAACATTGATCACAGATGATGAACGGAGTCGGTGGTTGAATGTGAATGAGACAAGTTGAAGAACATTTTTTCGATATCCAACAATCCCTTTAATGCTGCAGTGCGATTAAAAGCCACTGATTTGACAAGACCTGCATTACTTTATTCGGAAAAACGTACGACGAATAAAAATGCAACAAGTTTATAAGGATTTGTCCGATGCAAAAACTCTAAAGAAAAATAAGATAATTAATGCACGAATAGAGGAAATTGATAACACTAATAGCCTTGATACGAATTGTTCCTAATTGAATTTTCAAAAATTCCGCCTATACATGAGCATGAAGAAAATCTAGGGAATCGTACGTTACTTCACTAACGGATCACAAATAAATAATCAATCGATTCGAAACAAATACGCAAAAGAAAACGAGGCAGACGGAATTCACCTGCAGCACGAAGATTTTGTAACGACTGAAACTTCATACCCAATACCCCTTTTATCCGACGTAAATGACCTGTCATACGTTTCGGCAAGACATGAGTGCACGTACTGCAGAACAGTATTATTTTTTTTTTTTGGATTCGGTTTTTAAGAGGTCATTGCAGTCCTTTTTGGTTACTAAATAATGAACATGCTTAACTTCTGATATGTCATATTATTCATCTATATGACATATGTATGCCCATACATGTTAGCGATTACACCTTTGCAGAAGAATGGAGGGCAAAAATTGCTCTTAATTTCGTATCAAGATAGATTCACTCCTTTTAATGGTAGAGCTTCCTATATTACTGTCCGCTAAAAACTTGCATGAAAATACCGCAGCAAATTTTTTTCGAAACTCGGCGTGGGCATCAAATATCCCTTCTCTCTTTTCAGAAGCATCCTAATAATATACATAACCCTGCATACACTGATTTTGATCGCGTCTAACCACTTAATATACCGCACATGTATTTTCGAGCGATAATTTTAATGAAAATAACCAACTGTTTACAATGCAAAAGAATTGGAATATTCCGGGATAAAATGTTGGCTAACACCCCAGAAAGCTCTTATACAAGAATATATTTTAACGATAAAAATTCCAAGTAGAAAAACAAAATGTAAATTCGAGATAATTTGTTCCTCAAAAAGACTGCAGGAATCAACTCCATGATGGTACCCACTCCATAAGCGCAGGATATGATTTCAATTGCTATTTTGTCGCATTATCACTAGAGTTGTCGTTCAAAGCACTTTTCAAAATAAAAATCAGTGGCACATACACGCGTCAACACGACAAAAAGAGGCTTGACAGAATTAAAGAATTCGCAGACCGATTAAAAAAAAATGAAATGAAAAATATGAATAAAAAATAAAAGCCCCCTTCCCCCCGACTGACACCACACAAAACTTACGCGTCAGTGATTTCTTTGCACATGTTCAAGTCCAGCTCCTCGATGTTGGGACAGTTTTGGGCGATGGTTTGCACGGCGGGGTCCTGGACCCGGCGACACCCGGTGAGCTTGAGCTGCTTGAGAAACCCGCCGCATCGCCGCGCTATGCTCTCCACAACCACTCCCACCATGACGGTCTGGAACTCGAACAAATCGATCTTTTGCCAGTTGGATCCGTCCAGGGCCAGTACGTTCCAGTACTTGCACACTCGTGCGCAACGGCATAGCGTCACCACGTCGAGGTGCGAGAAGATCCTGGAAGGCAATAACAGACAATCGTGAGAACGGCAAAGAACGAAGAAGAAAAAAAAAACAAGCAACAAAACCCGACACCTTAGACCGCTCAGGAGGAGATATTCAAGCTCCTCCGATTGCATAAAAAAAATTATGGTGTTGATCTGATGACGAGAACGCTAAACAATTCACATTTTGTCACAACAAACAATTTGAATTCTTCAGCCTGTTGCCGAAAAATTCAGAATATCCTGCCATGATTCGCCCGAAATTTATCTCGTAGGACCACTACTTCCTACTTTCGTTTTTTTTGAAAGAAATTTAACGCGTCGTTTTCTCGGATTACAGGATGTGGGAACGCTAAACAATTCACATCTCGTTACAACAAATAATTTGTAAAAATATTTGAGATTCTTGAGTATGCTGCTGAAAATTCAGAATATCATGTCATCATTCGCATGAAATGTATCTCATAAGACCACTATTTCCTCCCTTTTTAGAAAGAAATCTAACACGCCGTTTTCTCGAATAACAGGACAAATGATAAATTTTGGTCCACAAAATTACGTTTACGAAAGACGCTGAGTAACTGCACTTAAAATCGTTCGCGCCTATTCTCAAAAAACCTAATATCATGCATAACATCAAAATTTCAATTTGGACGTCTAAATTTTGTCAATATGAATCAGGGCTCGGTTCTAAAGAAGATTGCATCATAAGGAGAGGCGTCTGACAATTGTGCCAGGGATTATTTCATGAATAAGCCATAACCATAGAGGTTTGAAACGCTGCAAACAATATCTAAACTTGGTTCCAATCTAATCATGAACAAGAAAAGCAACTGAATTTTTTTCCACGTACACAACTCGATTCACTCGAGCCAATTTCTTCAACAATTAAGTAAGCGTAGAAATGTAGAAAAGACGCTTCCATTACAAAAATAACCCGAATGGCTCGTAAATTTCCGCAGAAGCTCACAAACATCACCGAAAGTCATCAGACGTAAGCAAACAGTTCGAGTGTTTTTAAAACGATCTTCGACACACTCCAACATTCAATGACGAAAAAGAGCGTTCTTCTATAAAGTGACAGAATAACCGGGCATTTTAAAATTTAAATTAAGAAAATAATAATTAACATTTCAAAAAGCACGGGGAATTACAGCGACGCGATTTCCGACAAAGCACTGCGCAGTGAAAAAGTTAGAAATACACTTTAATTGGAAACGAAAAAGTAGATTAACACTGAAAATAATTGACGATCAAATGAATAAAAGTTATTCTCTTTTTTTCTTCAAAATTCTCCTGAACNCACGGGGAATTACAGCGACGCGATTTCCGACAAAGCACTGCGCAGTGAAAAAGTTAGAAATACACTTTAATTGGAAACGAAAAAGTAGATTAACACTGAAAATAATTGACGATCAAATGAATAAAAGTTATTCTCTTTTTTTCTTCAAAATTCTCCTGAACCCATGCAAACTTGGCACACCTGTTCACAGGATTAACCCAAAAACTAATGGATCTTCACACAACTCGATACAAATTCAATTGTTGACACTTCTTCCGAAATTAAAACGACGTCAGGGAACGAGTGGAACATAAAACTCAATAAATTTCACTGTCAAGTAACTTTTAATGCACATAATTGAAATATAATTAAGCTGAAACGATGAAAAAAAAACATTTGGAAGACACGCACAAATGCTAAAAAAAAATAATCACCTCAAGAGCAATTCTTTCGGCAGTTTGCGGTTGATCAAGGCGTCTCCACGATCTCCTTCTGTCAGCGGGTTTATCACTGCCACTCCATTAGCTTCACGGACCTGAGTTGAAGAAAAAAGTACACAAAAAATGAATTAAATACCGCGAAGTTTTAATGAAGACAGAAATTAAAAAAGCGCGTATTCTTTGGCTTCAAACCCAGCAAGGAAAAAAAAAACTTTTGACACCACAAAAAAAAAAAAGTCAGCGAAGCCAATCAATCGCAGACTGGAACCAATATCCACACGCGAATCGACCTGGCCTTAGCAGTTAACCCGTCGGGTTGGGAGCGAAACTTGCGTCAATTAATTTTAGAAACCCGGGGTCCGTAAATTCAAACTCGGTCGGCGCGAGTCGTTGATCCATAGTTTCTCCGGCAGTATTATAAAATTATAATTGTTTTTTTTTCTTCCTTTCCTTTCCCTTTTCTGAAACTATGACCTTGCGCAACCTTTCTGCCCGTGACGCAAACAAGACCAAATACCCAGATAAGCCCGTAACAAGCTTGAGGAATTGCAACAGATGCTGCACTTCTCCAGACATGCTCACGGGGAATCTAAGAAGTTTCCTTTCGCGAACCTCCGAATGAATGATGAAAACAAAACAAAACAAAAAATGCGAGAAAAGGTACGTATGATCAAAAGTTTAGAATTACCCGTTCGCAGTCGGATATGAGATCAGCTTATTATTATTTTTTTTTTCTCGAGAAAACAAATCAGATAGGTAGGGTCTTTGAATCGACAGAGTTCTGTCAGTGATCAACATTGAAACAACACAAGATATCATCGACATGTGGTAAAGAGTATATATACAAGATCAGATATTCTGAAAAATATTCCTGTTCAACTCGCTCGAATATAAAACTCACATTTCTTGAACCTTTCACTCCCAAAAGGAATTAGGGTGCTTAAATTCACGGCGTTTTGGATGAACAGTGCGTGAAAAACATGTAAAATGCATGTTTCTGGAATGGACGAAATATTTGCTCGCATAAAATGATGAAAAACTCAAAAACTCTTTCATTTTTTTTCTTCAAAGGATCGGATGTTCAAAGCTCGACCTGAACTTTTGACAAAACTATATCCAGTAGTTCAAAGTGAAAATATGGGAAAACATCTAAAAAAAAAACTTGTCCCCTCTGAAAAGGTCATTTCAAAATAACACATCCGCCACTCTGCCGCTCACAAGAATAACTTCAATAGGAAATCTAAACAAATAGGTTCCATTCGCAGTTTTTCTTCGGAAGTTGATGCGTATGAGGATACACTGTCACTAATAAAATACTTTATTTCTTTGTCCATCGAGAACAAGATGTTTTACAGCGAATGTAACAAATAATAACGCATCTCGTATGCGAATGAACATTTTTTCCTCTTCTCGCCAGAGGGACTGAAACATTAGGCTTCGCTTAAAAATATCGAATTATCTAAAATCGTGATTAACCAGGCTAATGCACTGAAGAGATTTCCCGGAATATTCATAATTCTGCCCGAGTATTCATTGAATAACGTTTTTTTTCTTCATATTTTCGAATAAAAATTTCCCATACTCATTCCTGATGATGGATCATCCGGGGAAACTTACACTGTCATTAGCTCGGATAATCAGAATTTTTGAATATACATTACGACCAGCATTGGTTAAAATAGTACTGTACTTCAATCAATTATTAAAGAACAAGTAGAGCGAAGAAGACTGACAGTCGAATTTCGTCTCTCTTCACGCACCTTGCCCTCGATTCCGAACAAGGAAAACTAGGATGACACGAATAAACCTTTTAAAAAAAAAACTGCATCCGTCCGCGTCAATACATCCATGAACCCCCAGGGCCTCAACTCATTAGCATACTTCATCAAGAAAACCAGCCTTATTTTCCTCTCAGTGGCTTCCTCTAAAAATGGGGAAAGCCTCCAGCCACGCACAAGAAAAATAAAAGCACTTTCGATCAACGAAGACTCTCCAGCCCTTTGTATACAAAACAAAGCCTACTGCTGAAAAGCTCCAGATATATATATATATATTTTTTTTTGTCAGAATAAAAATGAACCTAACCTCCAGCTACGTCCTACCATCAACGGGATAAATTATTCCTGAAACAGGGCGGGTACACACACAAAACATGTGAAGGAAGAAGGGACATCGATCCGCTCTATGGGAACACATTCCGAGAGGAAAAATTCTGACGGGGCTACACACACCAGGTGCGGATCTGTCGCAACACAGTGAAGCGAGATGAAACTTTTTTTTCCACCCTGTCATCTCTCTCTTTTTTATTTAAAAAAAATCAGGTTCTTGTTCTCTTTCGGGTTCGATACGTATGCTTTCGAGATTGCGCAGCAAGGAGAGGGATCCAAGAAATGAGAGAATTTTCTTCCAGGAAAAACATGTGCGAGTCACGAAGAGGGGAGATATGGAAGGTTGAAACATTTTTTTTTTTTGCGACTCTGAGATGAATAAAAAATGTCGGTTGATCGAGTACTTGCATTGAACCGGACACTTAGAAGATACCTCAATTTCGAACAAATTTCACAGGGGTTTCTAAAAATTTCCGCAGGTTATCTTCAAATGTTCACCAGAGGCGCATGAAATTCACGGATTCATTCTTATCCGCCGACATTCAAAAACAATTCCATTCCGAACTGATCAAGTTTAATAATTAGGATTCCTTTACGTGTGGAACATCAGGAAAAACTCCGAAAATAATGGCAGGTTTCCAATTTTTTCGAGCACTTGCTAAATCTGTTCCAGGGGTTCTCGGCTCTCTCTTTTTTTTTGCAAGCAGTATTTTCATCAGAAGTTTCAAATATTCGGTAGCATTACTCAGAAAACTCAACGCGAATACTATACTGTACATCAATTTTTCATATACACCTAGCAACAGTCACATGATGTGATACAGTACTTCGTTCCTGATACATTTTCGAAAATTGTGCTGTTTTGTGACTCACGGACCACCCGTGAAGTCTGAAGAAGAAAAAAATAAGCACACGGAGTCTTTTCCTGCGGGAAATCCTCACTGCGCACGAAACTCATGTGTGAAAATATTTTTTCTTCCGCACGGGGATTTCTAATGTTTTTTTTTTCAAGTTTCTGAGAAGAAAAACAGTACTTATGCCTTACACGGTGATGAAGATTTTTATGCGATCCGCAAGACTTGAAAGGCCCTCACATTGAACTAATATACCGTACGTGAAACCTCACTGATGTAGAGACCACAAGAATTCTTTTTCGACAAAAAAAACAAGAATGTCAGGAACAAATGAAATTCAACGCCACACCTCATGCACCACAATAACGGCGAAGTGTCGCAAATTGAAGTTCTCAGGCGCATGAACATTAATTTTAATACTGCTTTCTAGGAGTAATGAAACTGCAGTACAGTATTTTCAAAAACGGACGGCTTTATTAAATGAAAGGCTGAAGAAAAAGGACGACCATATTTGACGACAACAGAGTGCACTTTTAAACACGGTATCAAGACGGGTCTACATGAAACGTAAAAGCAAAGGTCAGAGACGCTTCGAGCTTCGCTAAATGACCGAAGCAACATTGCAGAGAACAAAAATGATGAAGTTTTTAGTCCGTGCACAAGAAGAGTTTAGAATAATGCACGAAATGAACTGACCGACGAAAATCTGTCAAGAAATCTTGGCACAATCAAACTCCAGTATGAAGATTGAAGCCATCAACATTGCAAACTGAACAACCGAGGTTTGATTCGTGCAATTTTTTAGCTTTTTTGTTGCTTTCATTCCCGAATTTACGTCACTTTTACAGGTTATTCGTTCATTTTTTCGACCATCAACCCGATTTTTTCATAGATTGAAAAGCAGTGGAGTTTGAGAGTTCAAGTGATACCCCAATACTGTAAGAAAATCAATTATAATCCTTGCTCGCGGATTTCGTGGATTTTAGGAAATGGAAAACCTGCTCAAATTTATCATTACGATTACCAACGGGCTGCAATAAAGAAAAATCTTTCGAAAAACTACAGAAACACATAAAAAAACACCATCAAAAGGTGTTATTAGTCAAAGACGGTTCGAAGATTTTTATTCAAAAACGTGGGTACCCAAATAACACCTTTCATAGATACTGACGAAACTTCTGTACTATCCCTCGTATACTTCTCTGCTTCTCACAAGACAAATTTCGCCATACTCTCTATTTTTACGCACCAATTACAAAATGCTGCTTACGGGATGACTCAGTAACGAGCGTACAAGGAAACTAATGTCGAATAACGAGTAAACCATTTTCAGCACATGAAATTAAAACAACACTTTCCACGGAACGAACTTTTCCGTCGATTTAAACGTATAGTTTCTCAAACGAGATCTTTCTGACGCGATCCAAATCCGTGTATTCACAGGTAAAAAGAAAGTTTAAAACTTCGAAGAACAAGTAATTTTGAATACAGTACCGTATTTACACGCATCCAAGTGATATTGAGCAGGGGAAAAAAAACGATCTGTCCATGACGAGAAAATGTGGAAACTCGATTAGGAAAATACAGCCAACACAGAGAAGACCCCTAAAAACTGTTACAATTCAATTAAAGTAAACAGCAATACAGGTAGACTCTCCCTACAACAAAAGCAAGATGACCAGAAAAAAAATCCGTTGTATAGAGAATGCCATAGTAGAGAACCCATATAACATGGGTAGTGAACCCTATGAGACAAAAACAAAATAATACAGATAAATTCTTTGTATATAGAGAGAGTCTACCTGAATACAGAAAAAAACTGAAATCTCAGAGTATTATGCCAAGCAGAAAATAATAATAATAATATTATTAAAACAGCCCTATATACTAGCGTAAAATACGTTATTCCTCCCACGTTGGTCGCGAGTCAACCTTCAACAGACAGCACAATACATAAAGGAAAAGAAGCACTTTCCGGCCGCCGACCGGGAAAAAAAAAGACACATGCCCCCGATCCTCGTCAGCTACAGGAAATGTTCCTGCCAACGCACAAAGTAGGATACCCACGACAAAAAGGCCCTCCGGATAGGTGGAAGAAGGGGACACCCCGGGGCTATCGCATTTGCGAAAGATATATACAGTATATCTTTGAAAAAAAAAAAATAATAGCAGAGCACAGAATTACTAACGTCGATGCGATAGGAAGGGCTCGTCAAGTACAACAGTAGGAGCAGCAGTGCTTGCCGGTTGTTGACCTTGGGGGTGTCGGCGCTTGCGTAAGCAGTGGCCGGCGGTGGCTCCGCTCAGTGCTGAGGAAAAAAGTTGAGTGCACCATCGTCCACTCACAAGTTCCTGCAACACAACAAAATTGCAACACATTAAAAACAAATAAACTATACAGTATATGTATACACTATACACACATACGGTGATTCACGTGACTCACAAGAAGAAGAAAAAGACAACAAAAAATTCCAAGGAGTTCCGAGAATATCATTCCGACATGTGTGTCTCTAATTCAGTGTTCCCTAACCCGTGAGCCGCGGAAAGGCGCCATTTTTTTTCCAAGATCCGCGGGAAACTTTCTTCCACAAAATACATTTATCAAAAGTAG